GTAGTAGTAGTAGTAGCAGTAGTAGTAGTAGTAGTAGTAGTAGTAGTAGTAGTAGTAGTAGTAGTAGTAGTAGCTAGTAGTAGTAGTAGTAGTAGTAGTAGCACTAGCAGTAGTAGTCAGTTTAGTAGCGTTTAGAAAACACGTGCCTTTCTTGCGTCTTACGTCATCACGCACGCACGTTGCTGTAGCCGTCACCATAGCAACGCTCGGAGTTTGTTTCCTCCTGCGTTTCCGGCGTTTTTACACGAATTCAACTTTAACAACAAACAGAAGAGAGAAAATAAGATTAAAAAAAGACAATTTTTTATGAAGATATTATTGTTTTTTCGTCACAGGGAGCATGTCTGCGGATGAGTCGGAGCAGCACGGCGCGGAGAGTCACGCTTCAGCCGCGGCGCTCAAAGCTTTTCTCCTCAAGCCCAGCACCAAGACCAACACCAACCTGTGAGCACCAACATCTCACCCTTTTTTTTTATCTAATTAATCCTAAGTTTACTAAACTAGTTCATTATTTTAGTAGATCTATGGTTCATTCTTTAGAAACGTAACGCAGATTCGTGCATTAACTCCAATCCACAATATTTATGTAGCACATTTTACAAACATGACAGAGAAATTAAAACAGTAAAGAGTACATCCTAATAAATAAATAAAATAAATACATTTTAAAAAAAGCAATAAAAATAAAAAAAAATAAAAAAAAACATTCGTATTCTATGGTTTTGCTCTTATATTATTTTACTGGTTTTATTTATTTATTTTTTAGGACCAGTATGATTAAATCTGAGCATTTATTTTATCGTGATATTATTATGTATTTGTGCAGCACTTTGAAACTGTTTGTGAAATATGTGATATAAATAAAGTGGATTTCATTGGATAAATTGGTTAAAACTATATAAAATTATGAAAATCTAATTAGAATAAAATAAAACTAAATAAAAAAAACACAAAGGACCACACAAGTCAGGCCGTGTTAAAAGCCAAAGAGTAAAAATGGGTTTTAAGACAAGACTTAAAGTTTTAAGAAACTTTTATCATGATTTGAGTAAATTTCACTTGACAAGTAAAATGATTTGCCAGTGGAACAAGAGTTTTTGTACTTAAAATATGAAAATACATCTTGCTGCACTTACAATAAGAAAAACAACAACTTTTTGAGCTTAAGAACAAGAAATAAAATCTAATGTTGCTTGAATTAAGAAAAACACACTTATTCCATTGGTCGATAATTTTACTTGTCAAGACGAATTGACTCAAATAAAGTTAAATGTTCTAAATTTAAGTTATTTTAATTTAACTAGATATAGTTTTTTTCCAGGATTTTTTTACTTCGCTTTACTTTTTTACTGCAAAATTCGTGCCTTGACTTGTAAGAATTAGTAGAAGTTGTCTGACATTAAACAACTGTTCTTAATTTTATGCCCGACAAAATAAAAATGAAGTAAATAACTAAAAGCTTCATAAAAAGATAAATCTCTAAAACATTTTCTCTTCTTCTGTCTTCCGGTCCTGCAGGTATGATCACTTGACCGAGGTGCTGGTGAAGATCCTGGATGAGCGCCCCCTGGATGCGGTGGACGTGCTGGAGGACATCAGCAGAGACGTGAAGCGCTCTCGGTACGTGGACAAACAGAGCACCCTGAGGGACCTGAGAGGACAGAGCCCCGCGGAGACACTCGCCGAGCAACAGAGAGCGCTGTTCGACCGCCAAGAGGAGCACGAGCAGGAGGACGAGCTGGTAAACACGGCCCAGACACGGGAATTTATGTTTTAGTGCATTAAAAGTTAAACACAATCAATGTTAACATGGATACCAAAGATACATCAGAAACTTTCTAACTACTGAAGCCTCAGGTGCCTCTCTAAATGTGGTCATATTGGCTTATCAAAGTCTGATCCTGTCAGATCTCAGGAGCTCAGAGGCCGGTTCTGGTTTGTACTTGGATGGGAGACACTGGGAAAATCAGGAGCCACAGGAGGCGCCAGTGGCAAAAACTTATGTTATTAGGTACTTTTTACAGACCAAGAGTTTGTTGTTCATACCTGACAGTTTGGACTGCTCCCTGTGGTCTTCCTCAGGGTCACGTGATGTTGCTGTGACGTGTCCGGTCAGACGATTTAAAAAGGTTTTGGCGCTGTTTTCCTACAGGTGGAGGCAGTCGAAACTGTCGGGTCTGAAAAACAAATTCTTGGTCTGTAAAAAGAATCTAATAACATAAAATATCAGAAGACCAAATGAACCACACTGGACTAGTGGCAAAAACAGTTGTTGTGTCCTTAGATTAGACACTTCCTCCACATTGCCAAGTATAAAAGTGGTGTGTGTGTGTGTGTGTGTGTGTGTGTGTGTGTGTGTGTGTGTGTGTGTGTGTGTGTGTGTGTGTGTGTGTGTGTTGGTCGGAGGGGCCGATGGTGCAGACTGACAGCCTCGCTTCCATCAGTCTACCCCAGGGCAGCTGTGGCTATAGTAGTAGTTTATGACCACTGAGTGTTGAGTGAATAAATAATGAACTGTGAAGTGCTTTGGGTTTCTTGAAAGGCGCTGTATAAATGCAGTGATTATTTTTGTGGTCATATCGGCTTGTCAAAGCCTGATCCCATCAGATCTCAGGAGCTCAGCAGGTCCGGGCCTGGTCTGTACTGGGAGACACTGGGAAAATCAGGAGCCACAGGAGGCGCCAGTCACAAAACTGTTGTTGTGTCCTTAGATTAGACACTTCCTCCACATTGCCTTGTATGAAAGTGGTGTGTGTGTGTGTGTGTGTTGGTCGGAGGGACCGATGGTGCAGATTGGCAGCCTCGTTTCCGTCAGTCTGCCCCAGGGCAGCTGTGGCTACAATAGTACTTTACCATCACCGGGTCTGGAGAGAAAAGAATAATGAATCTATAAATGCTCTGTAAAGCGTCTTTGTGACAAATGTCTGTGAAAAGCACTATATAAATAAAGACTTACTTACTTATTAATTAATAATGAATTAAATGCTATGACAATTATGATAAGATAATCTAATCATTTTATAAAATGCTCTCAAGACTGCAGATTTAGGCTGAGTTTTTCCCTCAAATAAAAAAAACAAAAACACTCTTTTCCTCCTTGTGATTTCATGTGGTAATACATGAAGTGCTCCACTGTGTTTTTAAACTCCACACACCTTCATTAGAATCATTTGGATAATTTCAGCCCTGGAATTGCTGATCTCTACTGAACTAAAGGTAGAAGTAGCTTGAAAACTACCACTACATGACATCACAAGGTTGAACAGAGCATTTTGAGCTGTGGAGATGTAGACAGACTAACAATAAGGAGTTATTCAAACGTGTAAATGAAACAAAACTCAACTCCAGGTCTGTTTGTGGTGAGAAAACAACATTAAAACATGACTTAAAGCTCACAAGAGTCAGTTTTGTCTAATATCGAACCATTAAAATCACACTAATGACTTATTATTTCATGCCTGAGTTTAGTGTTATAGTTTTATTTAATTGTTTTCTTGTGTAATTTCTCGGCGTAGGTGGAGCCCGCGCTGCCGAACCTGAGTGAGGTGGGCTTTTACCTGGAGCAGCTGGGCGTGGGCCTGGGCCGCGAGGAGCTGCAGAGGGTGTTCCTGTCCCTGAAGCAGCTGGTGGAGACGCACGCTCTGCCCCGCTGTCGATTCTGGGGGAAGATCCTGGGGACGGAGAACAGCTACATCGTTGCGGAGGCCGAGTACAGAGAGGGAGAGGAGGACGAGGAGCACAGCGCCGAGGAGGGATTTGAAGAGAGAGACAATGAAGAGAAAGAAGATACAGAGGTCTGACAGAGCTCAAATGAAACAGAACAAGCACGCCAAAGTTCTTCTAGAGCAGGGGTGTCAAACTCATTTTGGTCCGGGGGCCGTATCCAACCTACTTTGATCCTAAAGGGGCCAGATCAGAAAACTCATGGCATATAAACCCCAAAAAATAGCAATAAGTTCAAATATTTTTGCAGAGAAACACAAATCTATTACAGAAATCTTGTTTTAATTGATGAACTCTTCCTTTTACAAAATATTATAATATTATGAACAACCTGAAACTTAGATGCAGTTTCAACACAATGTTTTAACATTAACTTGTATGCAAATAGGAATAAGTAAATTTTTCTTGGAAAATCCTGCAATCGGCTCCACTTTCTCATTTTTGACATTTTGCACAGTCAACAGTCAAAACGATCGTCCTTTAAGAGCGTTTGGAAAGAGACAAGTCTTCATTTGTGCTGCTCTGGTGGGAGGGGCCACGTACAGAGACGCTGGAGACGCTGCTGTGATAAACACCACAGAAAATTAACAATATTTTAATAGAAAATATAATTAAAATATTTTTAGTAGAAAATCAGCCGAGGGCCACATTAAAGGTCTTGGAGGGCCGCATGTTTGACACCTGTGTTCTAGAGGTTCAAATGCAAAGAACAGCAAAATAAAAGTGAAAAAATGCAAAAGCACACTCAGATGGTCGATGTCCAAAAGCTTTTTAAAACATTTTAAGTAACGTTTCAGCAAATAAAAAGCCTTAGTGGTCCAAAGCAAGTAAAATGATCTGAGTTTGCTATGAATTTTTTCTCTTTTATAAGTTGACAGAGCTACTACTACTACTACTACTTAAGTACAAATGTGAAGTATCTGTACTTTACTTCAGTACATTTTGAAGTGGATTTATGGAAGATCATTTGTTTCATCAGCTTTTGAATTTTAAATGCCGTTGAATTTCTCACTTATCGCTGAAAAAACACGTTTGAATTATTATTTTTTTATTCTGAATGTCTGTTAATGAAATTATATGTGTACATGAAAAAAAAATCGCCTTTTAAATATTCAGCACAAATATTTTCAAGCCTTCAGATTCGAGTGTGAAATTCAAAGTGAAGGACATTTTGCAGATACAAGATGCAAAGGCAGAAGCAATCGATCCAAAGTAAAGCTCAACGTAAAACAGTAAGGAACAAGACACATTTGAAAGCTCATGTTGGGCAGGAGTGGGACTGCACACTGCGGGAGCGGCAGGTGGGAGGATAAACTGCAGTCCTGCAAACTAAATCTGAGTGTAAAGTAAAATATACAAATGATGAATGTGTGTCCTATCATACATCATTTGTGCTGGATATTTTATTTGGCTTTAATAA